CACACACACACACACACGCACCGATCTGTTTTGCTTGTTTTCGTATACGTCTACCCGAGTCTACCCAAGTCTAGCCACGACATCCGAAGCATCGGGATTGCCGGGTTGCTGTTCAAATGGCTACAGATATGACGCCACGGCAGCTAGATCGCATGCTTGCTCAGTTGCAACGTTGACCATCACCTGTCATCTTCCCCAGTATCTGTCACCTACTGCATGACACCTGGATCCCCATCTGAGAGGACTGGGGAACAGGAGCCGGTCCGGAGTCGGAGGAGATCACCAGGCTTGCAGTCGCAGCCCACGTTGAGGAAACGGCAGTTTTTGCCTGGGTGGACTCCACTCCAAGTCCCCACTCTAAAGGGTCTTTGCTTCGAAGGTCGGAGGTTTGGAGATTTCCTATGATAGGCCTGCTGTAGCCAAGCCCAGATGTAGAGTATGCCAAGAGCCCGCCGGTGGTCTTGATCGCACGACGATTTGTGGTCACAATCGCTCTGTGGGTATCTTCTTCCTCTCCAGCCCCTCATACGCAGAGGCTCCACCTTGAACGACTGGATGGCATGGGTGCTTGAATGTGCTTGAAACTGATCAACTTGGAACAATGCGTGAAGCTCGGGCTTGCGGTATGCCATCTACTTGTGCTTCCCTGCTCTGCACGTCGACCCCGAAGTCCCCCTGCGAGCACAACTGGGCCCAGCTCCAAGGATTTCCTGACGGCAGTAGCCTGGCTTTCGGCTGGGGACCGTGTCACGGGTCTTGGGGCATCGGGCTTGCAGGTCGACGCCGGAGCAGTCAGTGTTCGGATTTCAGGGTTTTCACGTCAGAGGCCCGCTGCCCTTGGCCCCCAGAATCCTCCCTTCGGCTCACCCTTCGGCCCGATGTTCAATCTGAAGTGACACTCCGGAAAAGCTGCCTGTCATGCTTTCAAACTGCTCGGAGATCGCTATGAGTGCAGCATCCTCACTCCTGCCAGGGTGAAGTTCAAGACCCAGCCGGGGCCAGGCTATGCTGGGTCTAGTATGTCGGGCTCCATGCAGGAATTCCACTTTCGAGGCTTTGATGGTATGATGCCCCTCAGTAACGAACAAGCAAACAGGATGAATCGGCGAACTTGTGATAGGATCCTTACCGGGAGCAGGAATTGTCATTGTCAGATTATGTACCCCCTGGCCTGGGATCCGCCACTGTCACCGAAACTTGTCCATCGGCCTGGCATGGCAGTCTGCGAGGCTTCAATTTCCGAGTTTGTGCCTCTTCTAAAACACATCGGCTGCTTCCTCATGGGCTCTCACGATCCTCTGGAAGGCTTGGCGCCCGGCGACTGCAGCGCAAATGGCCTGTTGGATGCTGCTTTCGCGGACAACCTCTGGACGTGCGGGAAGTGATGGCTACTCAGCTACTCGAGGGAAGCTGAAGTCGCGAAAGGATTCCGGTCCCGAGAACTCAATGAACTTCGCCCTGGTTTTAGTGCTGCCGGTTCTGGTCAGGTTCCTTCTATGCCCAAGCCACACAAAGGTCTTTCTGCCGTGCAAAACCCCTTTCGGGGGCCCGCCCGGGAAGTCATCACATCGATGTTGCTGCATTGCTTTGTAAAGAACTGCGGTGCCGAAAGCTCCTGCAGAGCTTGGGGGCTTGGGGACAACAGAGAGGAGCTCCGCTTCTGCCCACTAAAACACAGAAAGGCTCATGCGATGCACAAACTCTCCACAGCGCATCAGACCTCGCAGAGATTTACAGCTAACAGATTCCGAGAAAGCCGGCGTTGGCAATGCCAAAGCACGGGCGGAGTCTGCGCCTAGTCCTGATTTGGTGCGGCGACAATCTGTCTTTTCCAATGTGTGTCTTGCCATTGAGAAGAGCAAGTGGCTGAGTCTCCTCTAGCGAGTGTGTTGTAGAAGCATCCGAGCTCACAGAGATCTGATTCTCCCACCTGGCTCGACATGTTTGCGGCTGAGGGACAATCAGGACCGAATTTAGATATCAGCAGGCAGTGTTGCTGTATCGATTGCAAAACAAGACCTGCAAAGCTCTGGACAAAAGTCGTTGAAATCTGAGCTAGAAATCTCGACCCTCGACCTGCAAACAAACAAGGCTCGGCAGGCCCTGTTTTTAGGCACTCAGAAGCCTGCCGCGTTGGGCAGGGCACCTGTCCAGCAAGAGCTTGTGCACTTGGGGTCGAAGGCTCGCCGGACCGACGTCAAATGGCCATGTGTTTGCGAGCTTTCGGAGGGGGTGCTTCGGGACTCTTCGCTGGTAAGTTATTTGCACTCCTCACCCTGTCGGAATTGAATCAAAGTTCTAGAAGTCTGAGCCACCACGTGCAAAGTGCAGGCCGGAGTTGCGTGCAAACTCGAAGCCCTTCCCGCACTTCACCGTCCTGGACGACGACATCGTCGTCCTCCATTCCTGCACAAGCCAATTCAAGGACTGTCAGAGTCGACAAACCTCAGAACGCCTCCGTGGAGGTACCAGAATGTACAGGCTTTTCAAGATCTTCTGATCCGTCCCTCCCACTCTCTCTCTCTCTCTCTCTCTCTTTCTTTCATCAGGGCTAGGGGCAAGAGAGGCCAGCCCCCCTCACCTCTCTCTCTCTCTCTNNTCTCTCTCTCTCGCTCTCTCTCTATCGCTTTCCTCTCCTGCTTCTTCTCACGGGCCTGAAGGAAGTGTGAACACATTATTTCGTTATGTCTGTATGTCTTTCTCTCTTTCGTCATTTATTACTTGTTTCGTTCGTTCGTTATTTCGTCATTTATTTCGTTATTTGTTGCTGTCTTTCGTTCGTTCGTTCGTTCGTTGGTTCTTTGTTTTTTATCTATGTATGTCTTTTCTCTCGTTCTTTCGTACTTTCGTTATTTCGTTCGTTATTTCAGTTATTTCGTCATGTCTGTCGTTCTTCATGTATCTATTTTTTTCGCTGTTTCATTCGTTCTTTCTGTCTGGCTTTCCGTCGTTCGTTCGGTCTGCCGTTCGTCATTTGTTTCGGTATTTCTTTTGTTCGTTATTAACTGTTTTCGTTCGCTCATTCTTTATGTATGTCTGTCTTTCTTCCGCTAGTTTGTATGTCTTCCCTTATGTCTGTCTTTCTGTCGTTCCGTCGTTCTTTATTGCTGTCTTTCGGTCGATAGTTATGTATTTATTTCTGTCGGTATTTCGTTGTGTATTGATGTCTGTATTCGTGTATGTCTTTCTCTCTTTCCTTATCTATCGCAATCTTTCGTTCTTTGCTTCGTTCCTTCGCTAGTTTCGTTCGTTATGTCTTTCTGTCGTTATTTCTGTCTGTCGTTATTTCTTTCTTTCGTTCTTTCGATAGTTCGTGCGTTCTTTCGTTATTTCTTTAGTTAGTTATTTCGCCATTCCGGTCTTTCTTTATGTTGTTATGTCCTTGTTTCTGTCGTTCCGCCGTTCTTTATGTCTGTCTTTATTTCGTTATTTAATTATTTCTTGCTTTGGTTCTGTCGATTGTTCGTGCGTTCTTTATGTCTTTGTTTCGCTCGTTATATCTATTTATCTCGTTCGATATCTATTTATTTACTTCTTTATTTCTGTGTTTCTTTCGTTCGCTTTCTAGTGCGTTAGTTCGTTATTTCTGTATTTATTTCTTTCTATCGTTCGATATTTGTGTCTTTCCGCGGATCTTTATTTCTGTCGTTCGTTGTTTAGTTCACGAATTTGATATTTCTGTGTTTATGTATTTCGTTCTTTCTTCTGTCGATTTTTGTTCTTTCGCTCTTTCGTTCTGTCTTTCGTGTGTTCTTCGTGGCAAGAGCAGCAGCAGAGCAAGGAGGAAGATGAGGAGAGGCAGTGATACTAGCAGCGGCATCGGCGGCCGCTGCCAGTGTTTGGAGCCCCGCTTGGTGTTGTGTCGATGCTGCTTGTGAGATGTGAGCAGTTGCAGCATCTGCTGCTGCCGCTGCCTCTGCTGCTGCTGCTGCTGCTGCTGCGGCTGCTGCTACTGCTCCTGCTCCTGTTCCTGCTATTGCTGCTGCTGCTGCTACTGCTACTGCCACCGCCGCTACTGCTACTGCTACGATGACGACTACGACTACTTGAAGTGTGTAGGCAAGATGCCATGGTCTTGTGCATGGAATTGTCGTTTCCCCACTGCCTGAACATCTTCCAATTCTCAGACTCACATCATCCTGCCACTCCAAGCCGCCTTGCTACCACTTGATAGCTTGTTCACTTTGCCAAGACTGCTGACCTTGAGCTTGAATGCCGATCGTGATCGGTCGGCGATCCCGATCTGAGCACCGGGTCCGGCAACAAGCATCAGAACAATGATGCCAAGTCACACGCACCGAAAGCCTCTGTGTCTATGGGAAACGGTCTGGCCTCTTGCTTGTCATCCACAGCGCCCCCGAGCTGGTGGCTGTTTCAGAAACAGCAGGGGTGCTCCAAGCTCTTCGGCAACAAAAGCTCAGGGGTGATCTTATTCTACTGTCCCGAACGATGCCTCGGGTGAGTTGGAAAATGAAACGTGGTATGGCCAACGAAGCCTGTTGAAACGGAACTATATTTGTCGGAGCCAGCGGCGGCGCAGACGCACGTATGCCTTTTCATGCCTCTTCAAACATTGCTCCCTTGCCTGAGGCCTCTTGACTAGACTGAGGCGTCCTTCCTGAATCTGGCGCGGGCATGCCCTTACGATTCGTCACAATACCATCTCTGCCAGTATGCTCTAGCAGCCGTCTCGACGCTGCCATCTTGATTCTAGCCCCAACCCCGGAGAAAGCACAGGCAAAACTCAACGCAAACCGAAGAGCGCCCCGCATGGATCTTTGCTGCGACTAGCTCGGGGAAGATTTCCTTCACGAGTATCTCAAAGCCCACGACATGCAACGACCCTTTCCTCGAATAAGGTCCGTGTAAATTACAGAGAAGGTGCTGAAGCTTCCATTTAAAGTACTTGAATCCACTCTTAAATTCTGCCACTTGCCACATGCGCTGCAGCCCGGGCTTTTTGGCGTTCAGGTCGCAGCGTGGCTCAGCCGAGGCTTCTTCGCTTCTCTGGCCTCCCACTGCAGAAGACACAGCAACAAAGAGAAAGAACAGCAATCAGCAGTTCCAATAATTATCATAGTGATGATGGCAATAGTGATGATACTGATGGTCATGGTCATGGTCACGGTTAAAGTTATGCTGATGCTGATAGCAAAAGAAATACCATGAGAAACCGTTCGCATTGCCGATGACACTGAGGCGTGATGACGCAAGGGCCAACAATCACACATGAGGTATGTTGGAAATGAGCCGTCCTTTCCATGGCAAAGCTTCGGTGAAATCGGGCTCAGGCAGAGGATAATCCAGCAAAGGTTATCATCGACCTACTTGGTGAAGTGCATGTGTGCGTCTCTGCACGTGGCTGGGGTGCGGTAGTTGTTACGCAGATGCTGAAATAATGATGATATAAAACCATAGTGAACCTCAGAAAGTTGGAACATCAATCTAGGATGATTAGTTCTGAGATTCTCTGTACTACTTTAAGGGCATCCGGAAGATGATGTTCCAACTTTCTGGCTTCTACTGTAATATAATCCGCTCGCTGCTCCAACACTGCAAACCGTCAAAAAATCATCAATCTTGCAAATGCACCAAAAGACGCATCTCCCAGTTTCAGCGCTGAGAACCCTCCGTCCACGGTCACACCGCTCGCACGTATCGCTGCCTTCGCAGATCGGTCGCTCCTGTGCCGGCGAATGCGTGGCGCGGCTTTTGCAGCATAGGGCTTGGAGGAGTTCGGTCTCAAGCTCTGCGATTCTGGCTCGACTGGTGCGGCTTCGAAAGAGGGATGATACTCCGCTCGATCCAAAGATGCTCGACTTGCCCCATCGCGACACAGACAACCGAAGGTTCGTACGTCGCAGCCCCGAAGGCATATAAACCGAAATTGAACCAAACCCGACAAACGGCAGCATCCGAAAGTCCGAAAGAAGATCGAACTAAGTCCTTGGACCTGCTTCCAAACATGCACCGACAATCTCAAGCACTTCAAGCTTCAATCAGGACCTACGTAGCTTGGAGAAAGTCCTCGTTCCACTGTCCGAAGACTCCACGCTGTCTCCGTCCTTGTGATCGAGTATATATAAGGCCCTTGACAAACAAAAGGGGTGTGGGAGGAAACCGGGACGTTCATGCTTGGTATTTGAGCCCCCGAGGTACACCTTTCTCAATCTCCTGCTTGTTGGACGACGACGACGACTACTAGGACTGCAGCTGATAGCACCACCACCATCGCCGCCACCACTGCCAATCTTGCTGTTGCGCCTGCATCTGTTGTCGTCGTCGGTGCTGTCGCTGGTGTCTTTTTTGATGATGCTGTCGCTGCTGCTGTCGCTGCTGCTGCTGCTGCTGCTGCTGCTGCTGCTGCTGCTGCTGCTGCTGCTGCTGCTGCTAGGGCTGGTGATGCTGTTGCTTTCGTAGTTGTGCCTACGGCTGTGGTTGCACAACCTGTGGTGCTTCCCGAACAAAAAGCCTGTCAATCGAAGATGCACGGCCCGAATGATTGAGACAACCGCAGCGCTAATGCCAAAATGTATGCATGGCTGACTCAAGCTGGTAGGACCAGGTGGCGATGTAAGGATACCAAGCAAGATTCCGCCCAGGCTACATCACAAGCTGACGAGCTCATACCTGAAGCGCGCTCTCCTTGGCAAAGATCGTACTCGATGAACCAGAAGCTAAAACACCACCATCTCGAAGCCCGGAAAGACAACAGTTTTCCTGTTCGTCCTGCGCCAGGAAGCGGCGGCAACGGCGCGAGCCCTTGAGCACGGCACGGAAGGCACCGCGAAGGCTTCCTGCTCTCGGCTCCAATCCTTTTTCGAGGTTTGGCTTGGAATGGACAATTCTGGATCTGCACGATTTCTGGGATTGGGATGTTTGCAAGGTACAACAACCTTCTGTAGAAACTTCGCCTCTTGCAAGGGGCCCTCACAACAAGAAACAACAAGCAGTGCCTGCAGCTTCCGGCGTAAGAAAGAACGGCTCGTGGACACGAGGATCTGCCTCGGTCTGAACATGTAAGGAGTGTTTTTTCTGTCAAACGATCACACCCTCTCTCATACGAGATTGAGCGTGCAAGCCTGTGTCTACCTTGAAGCGTCGTTAAGCCTGTCGAAACACACATACGTGCTGTAATTCCTGAAACCCTCGGAACGCCAGATCGTCCCAGAAGCGCGTACTTCCGAAATCCATCAGCTCCTCTAAGTCTAGGTCCACGCACTGCTGAGCTTGTGACATTCAGCGCCGCTGCCGCTGCGGGCTCGGCTGCCCCGCCCAGATAGGTGGCCCAGGCACCATAGGGAGCAGAACGGAGGCCCTGCCGTGGGGACGGGAGAAGCTCAAGTGGTGAGAGCCATGCGAACGGACTTGCCGGAGCCCTGCCCGCACCTCCAAAGCCTTGACCTGGCACAGGAGAGCGAAATCAAAAAACTAAACCCTAAAGCCTAGTTTTACCCGAAACTCTAAGGATGCGTTGCGCGCCACCAAACCCAAAAAGTCTCATGGAAGAATGCGCGGCTTTCTCCGAGCCACGAGATCGTGGCAGAGTACCCGACTTGTCGCAAGTGCGCCCGCCCGCCTCCTTGGCCACGTAGGCTTGGAGCACCTCGCCCTCGCAAGCATCCGGCACGCCGAGGACCAAGAGGTCCACAGAAAGCCCAGCAGACGCGAAGGCCACGTGGAAAAGGTGCCGGGCACGGGCTGCGTGGAAGTCGCTGGTGACGACCCAAAGCCTCCTGGCACCGTGTTCCCGGACGTATTCCACGGCCATGAGGGCCTCGTCCACAGTGTGGAGAGCCTCGAGACCAGGGTCGATGATGTGCTCTGCCGAAAGCCCGCAATCCAGCAAAGCTTGCTTCACATATCTCCAGTGTGAGGTGGAGGTTCGGTTGAAGAAGCGATTTGGGTCGGCTCCGCCCGAGACGAGGACGGACACATGCTGGCCAGCAGCAGCAAGGGCCCTCCATAGGGATGCGGTCTTCACAGCTCGCTGCCGTACCTCCCCATCCACATTGCCCTTGTCGTCATTGGAGGACCCCAGCTGCAGCAGCAAGAAATGGCCTCCGCAGGAGAGACTTGCATGACAACACCCTGGCATTCCTCCCGTTGAAAGCAAAGGCTAGCGGCTACTCGGCCAGTCGAGCCTTCGTCTTCGTTCCAAAGGTCTGGAGCCTGCAGCCGCTGAGCTCTCCGGGAATCTTCATCTCTCACAGGAGGAGCATGCTTTGGAACGAAGATACCGGTGCCAATCAAACGGGCAACATCCACCAGAATCTCGGGGCACCCGGACCTTCACCGATGCGTGTCGTTTGACGACCTCGGCTCCCACCATCGGCTGCGATATGACACCCAGCAGTCTCTAGTCACTCTAGTCCCGCCACAATGGGCAGCTGCCCGAAACTCACGTTGACTTTTGCCTCTTCGGGCACAAAGGGCTCTCGGCTGTTTCCTTTTCGCAGCTCTGGCCGCAGGGGGCCTCGACGATGTCCTCCAGGAGGCCCTCCTTCGCTTTTCTGGTCATGACGCCCTTGCCTGCCGTGCGCAGGAAAGGTGTGAGGGGATGCCAAACGGAACGCACAGCACGCTACGAACTGTTCGGATTCTTGGACGCCTCCATGATCGAAATCTGACGCGGTGGTGTTGAGGTAGTCATTCGCGACATTTGTGACCCTCGAAGCCCAAAGACACCAAACCTCACGTCCTAAAGACCCTGGCCGAAGCGGAAAGCGTTCACCATGGTCTCAGCACAGATTTGTTTTGAGTTCTTCTTGCAAAGGCTGTGCCGAAAGCGACTGTTGGACACCTCGTCGTTCCAAGCCGCGCAGCAGGAGGCCTGTGCGGAGTGTGATCTCAAGGGCTCGAGGCTCGAAGTTTCCATCCTGACGCGGCCTGCATTGGCAGGATGCCAGTTGACGAGGCTCTCCTTCGTGGACCGATTGTTGTCGCTACTTCGGCGCTAGACCCCGTGCCTGTGCTTTATGGGGCACGTGACCCGTGACCAGCAGTCCGACCAAACCCAGCAAAACCCAAAAAGAAGCGCTCCAACTGCAGCCCGACGCACATACGCTGTGAGGTTCAGCTCTGTGCCCACCACGACTGTGGCGTGTGGCAGGCCACCACTGAAACTGGCAGAGCAAAGGCGACAAGAACAGGCTTGCTGTCGGTGCGAATCAGAAAACGTCGCTGTCAGTTGGCATACCGCAAGCGACTTCTCCACATTCGCCGAAGCACTGGAAGCCTCGCAACATCTCCAGGCTGCAGCAAGGCGATGACGGCCGCCTCCCAACAAGCGTCCAACAAGAATGAGGTGAGGTGGTCGCAAGCTGAAGTTGGGGTGCATGGGAGGGTCACTGCTGTCGGGCATACTGGGATGAGCTTTGGGCCTGTTCATGCCACCGAAAGCTGAGGCCTTTGATAGAGCTTGCGTCTGCTCTGGCGACAAAGGCCTCAGTGAGGGGCCAAGGAGAGGGCTGAATGTATACGACGTGCAGCAGGATTCGGAGTCGGGACCCCGCAGAAACGCCTCAGCCATCCCAAGCCTTCTACACCGCATTTCCCTGACTGAAGACAGCCTGCGGAAGAGCTCCCCTTCGTGCCGCTGCACGATCTCTGCAGCGTGATCCGGACCCCAAAGCGCCACGAGCTTCAGTCCTGTCTGACAGATGGCGTCAGGGAGTTGATCATCTGCTCTGATGCTCGGAAACTCCCAAGACGTTTTGCCGGCTCCAGGGCTCCAGGGCTCAGGGCTCCACGGGAGTGTAGCTCTTGGGTAAGACACAAAACATGAGCAGGTCCATCGGCTGAAGGAGTCATGTTCCGAATGCTCTGAACACAACCCTCCCACAAGCTGTAAACCGCCCCGACCCTTGGACCAGTCCATCGATTTCGCAGACCATGCAGCGAGGTAGCTTGCAGGCAAGATGGCAGAGGGATTTCGGCTTGTTTTCGCCGAAACCCAGCCAAAAAAGCCTTTCAGGCATGACCGTACTACCGGTGAAAGCTGACCCAAGGCCTTCACAAAGACTCAAAAGTAAATGGAATCATCGATCCCTGTGCGGTTCTGATCAGCTCACAGAGGCCTGAATCATCTGGAGATGATGATGATGATGATGATGAGCATGATGAGGAAGATGACGATGACGAAGACGAAGACGATGACGAAGACGAAGACAAAGACGAAGATGAAGATGAAGATGATGATGATGATGATGATGATGATGAGAAGGACAATAGTCTTGATCATGAATCATGACCACGATCATGGTGTTGGGGCTGATGATGATGATGATGATAATGACGATGACGATGACGATTGTGAGGAGGAGGAGGAGGAGGGAGATGGGATGAGGAGGATGATGGAAATGGTGGACATATGGATGCACAGATGACCATTGTACCGATGAACGGGGAAACAGATATGGGCGTGAACAAATAAATTGAAGTCGCATAGCCATACCCATCTGGTTATCCATCTGTCTAACCATGTCTATATCTGTACTTATACCTATATCTTTATGCCTCTATGTGTGCATGTATGTGTATGTATGTATAGTGAGAGAGAGAGAGAGTGAGTATAGAGCTCAGCGCATATATTATATACACATTTGTATATATATATATAT